AAAAAAACAATTCTAAATAAACGAAATCAAGTGAGCAGTCCCACATAGGCGGATAATCAAATCTTGAAATAGCATATTTTACCACTTTTCTGCTCATTATTCCTCGTATCTTTAGAAGTAAAAACTAGAATTGAGTTCTGTATCAAGTACGTGTAATTTAGGAGTTTCCTCTTTTTTTTCTTTTCTTATAAATTAGAAAAGAAGATTAAACAAATTAGAAAATAATCTATAATACGTACCTTGTCGGCGTGGTAGGGCTCGCGGTTGCTCCGTTGTGAGGTGATTCCTCTCCCTTTGTTTGCAGGTAACGGAATAGATTGCCAGACTTTGGCGTAGTAATCGTTTGTTGTGCCGTTGGTCGCAGTGGAGTTTTTTGAGCATTAGGACCAGGGGATTCACCAGCCTCTTCTTCTTTAGTTTCTGCATTATGTAAAAAACATCAGGTTATGAAAGTAAAGTCCTCTGATCAATGGTGGAATGGTAATTATCCACTGGTTGGTTTAATGGTAAAACAACTATAATTATAAAAATTCCTTTTATTGCCAAAAATTAAAAGAAAACAACCATAGCCATAAGTACGATTTCTTTTGAAAGCAATGAGTGATAAACAGAAAAAAGGAGTTTGTGAAGATATAATATCTTAATTTTACCTTTGACCTTCTTCTCTCTGGGTTTCCGTTTCTTAGTTTGGATTAACTGCGGAGAAGGTGGACATTCCTTCAAGTCCTCACTTTGAATCTGAACAAGGATCTCAGCAGACTTTCTAGAGAGCATAAACTTAGAATTTACCTGACATCCCCACTTATCAACAGTAAGTTTCAAAAATGTGCAGTAGCCCTCAAGCGAGGATATAACAATATTCTTCCCATCAGAACTCCAAGCAGCGTCGGTTAGGCTGTTATATTGAATATTTTCCACTAGGCCAATTGGATTACGATGCTGGCTATCGTAAAAGTAAACACTGTCTTTAGTGAGTGCTAGCCACAATACTCGATGAGGTAATCTGAAAAGTTATATGGAAGTGCGATCAACTTGCATGGCACTATTCTTACCCAGTATAATTCTCTTCTTCCTTTTCGAGTGTCATTAATAATGGACAACATCTGATGAGGAAAGTGGCCTTCGGACATGGTAAAAAGGCTAGAGGTTTATCACTGGAAAAAATAAAAAAGATAAATAATATAGGCCTCAGGAATTTGAATCACTTCTCTAGGTCGCTTCTTCTAAAGATAAGGGTACCATAAAGATCATGTGTGCCTACTTCTAGATCAGCACCTGAAAAACACTAGATGAAGAAATACAAAATATATAAATGAACTCAACCTACAAGGTGCAATGATTAGTTGCCCACAAGGTGAAAATGCTACTCCTCTTTGAAAACTCATCAACTGATCATCATGGAAAAGTTTATAGACCTAGAAAAATCCAGATAAAATTTGGAACACTAACATTTAGTTTAACAAAACCTTATGTTCTAAAGTAATGTCGCCAATATCGACCGAAGGGAGGGCACATACGCCAAAAGCTCGCAATCTTGTGCCTTTTGCAGCATCGATGAGATCCATTTTGCGGTCCGTAGACATTGTTACGATGTATTTACCCTTAGGATCCCAAGCCACACCACTTGGAAAGTGCCGCAAATTTCGTACAGATACACAACGTTTTCCTATCAAGGTGGTTACATTAAACTAATAAATATATAAGAAGGAAGACACTTATCCTACCTGACATTACATCATGCACGAACAGGGATTCGTCATTGGAAACCGAAGCAAGAAACTTGCCATCTGGGCTCCACGCCAGATTTGTCACCTCGCTGTCGTGGTTCAG